GGTTTCGTGGATGCAACATTTATCAAACCACTTACAACTTCAACCTCAAGGGTATACAAGCCTTATTTCTTCACACCTCTAAAGATTTCTTCGACCCCTTCATGACTCGCAGGATACTTTTCTCTCCTTGAAAAACATATCCCTTCCTGTCGAATTCACCAAGAGAAATCAAATTTCTCTTCAAATCAGGTACATACCTGACTTCAATCAATAACCTTATTGAATCATCATGGATCTTGAATCTCACAGATCCAATACTTACAATTTTGCAAGCTTTGTTGTTTCCCAGCAGCACTGATCTACCATCTTGATCACATAGCTCCTCGAACAATTCTCTGTTTGGAGTCATGTACCAAGTGCAACCTAAATCCATAATCCACTCTTTTCTTGAGTCGCCGCTTGAAACCATAATAACATCATATGTTTCAAAGTCATCTTGAATAATGGCTGCGTTGCCATTATCCTTATCTCAGTGATCTTTCAGGCGTTTAAGACACACCTTTCTTGTGTGACCCTGCTTCTTACAGTGATAGCATCAAATACCAGATGCTTCGCCACTATAAGACTTTTGCTGACTTTTACCTTTCTTCTTGTCAAACTTACCATCCTTTCGCAAGAATTTTCCTTTAACGGCCAAACCTTCGCCCACCGTCGAAGGTTTATGCTCCTTTCGTTTGTTTAGGTCCTTAGAATACATGGTTGATTGAACTTCTTCAAAGCTCAGGGACTCCCTTCCATACATGAGAGTTTCTTTGAAGTGAGCATGTGTTTTTGGCAAAGCACACAATAGCAACAGTGCTTGATCTTCATCATCGATCTTTACATCAATATTTTCAAGATCAAGAATCAGCTTGTTGAACATATCCAACTTCTCAGCAAACATTTTGTCTTCACTCATCTTGAATGAATACAAAGCTTTCTTCATGTAGAGTCGATTCACCAGAGATTTGGTCATGTACAAACTTTCAAGTTTTAACCATAACCCCGATGTCGTAGTCTCCTTTTGTACGTGTCAAAGAACCTTATCACCAAGGCTCAACAATATTGTGTTGTGGGCTTTCTCTTTCATAGACGTCTTTTCTTTTTCCGTTAATGCAACGTCCATGGCTGCCTCTCCCTTCATCGCTTGCAAACAACCTTGTTGAACCAGTACGACTTTCATCTTCAAGCGCCACAGACCAAAGTCATGCACTCCGATGAACTTTTCAATCTCATACTTTGTTGAAGGCATCTTCCTCCACGCTCACCACACCAATTTTTTGTGAATTAGGATGCCTTAAACCAAAATATACTTGGTTTTTTTTATGATCAAGAAACACACAAGGTTATGGTTAAGGAAAAACAAGGAGAACAAGAGGATTGATTATAAATGTCATTCTTTACTTTCTCTATAAACCAGATTACAAGTACTCAAGAATAACAAATAACCCTTTCACTAATTAGATTTTGTCACACCACACATAAGATGAGAGACTAGTATGCTATTTATAATAAAACCTAACATACTAAACTAATGGGCTTTTTAACAATTACTCATCACAAGCTAACTTAAACAATTGAATCCTTAACACGAGACCCAATTCGACAACTACATACTAAAATACAATTCGACTACAACATGTAGGTCTTCGATAACACCATGTCAGCAAACTTCGATGACATGCTAAGTAGAGTTTGATCCAATATCACACACACACGCACATGCACACGCGCGCGCACACACACACGCACACATACACACAAACACACACACGCACACACACACACACACACATGTACATACCCACACCCATGCACGCCCGCCCGTACGCCGACGCACACGCACACACACACACGTACACACACTCACACACACACACACAAACATACGCGCGCGCACGCGCCTTCTTGCGCCCACACAAACACGCGCACACCCACACACATATGGGGTTTGCTAACGTAGACCCACTTGTTTTTATGAAGGTCTATTTTAGTAAGCATTAACTAAAAAATCATTAAATGCAATTTAAGGTGCATGTTACTAAAGCACGCCTTCATAAAAACAAGTGGGTGTATTATAACAAACCTATGCGGGGTTTGCTATAATACACCCATTTGTTTTTATAAAGGTGTGTTTTAGCAAGTTTTAACTAAAAAAATGTTAAATGCACCCTAAGGCACATGTTGCTAAAATAAACCTTCATAAAAACAAGTGGGTCTACGTTAGCAAATATACCTTCAGAAATATTAATTAGTGAGGGCGAAATGATACTCATTCGCCTCATAAAAAAATATTTTATTTGAGCAATACAGTTTTTAGAAAAATAATTATATATATTAATTTTAATAAAAAAATCAATGTCATTTTTAAGAATACGTTTATTAATTGTAGTAAACAACATAGCTAAATTAAATTAAAGTTAATAAATAATATAAATAGTAATAAAAAATAATAATAAATATTGTGTCATATTTTTAAGAGATAATTATTTTAAAACATTAAAAAATATAAAAGTGAGATATTTTTTATGCAAAGAAGGAAGTACACATATTTTAAATACTACATACCGCATATTAGAAATTTTTGCATTAAAATTTGTTAAAATAAATATATATTTGTCTTGTGAATTTAATTTATTTAGTACCTGATGTTGCCATTAGAGTACTACATCAAAAAAATGCAAAAGATAAAATAATATATATTAATTATTTAAACAACAAATTAATCTTTAAGCTAGATATTCAGAATAATTTTTTTTTTTAATTTTCAATATTATTACATATATATTTATGTGTATATGGTCAAATAATATTTTAACAACTTATCTTTTAAATTATTTTTTTATTTAATTATTTATAATTATAATTAATTAATTAATTTTATGGAGGCAATATTTAATTTTTAAGAAAAATTAAACTAAAATAATTAATTGTTTAATACAAAATAAGTAAACTAGTGGGGGCAAATGCCCTCAATTAATATAACCTAGATCCGTCCATATATATATATATATATATATATATATATATATATATATATATATATATATATATATATATATATATATATATATATATATATATATATATATATATATATATATATATATATATATATATATATATATATATATATATATATATATATATATATATATATATATATATATATATATATATATATATATATATATTTAATTATTTATAATTATAATTAATTAATTAACTTTATGGAGACAATATTTAATTTTTAAGAAAAATTAAACTAAAATAATTAATTGTTTAATACAAAATAAATAAACTAGTGGGGGCAAATGCCCTCAATTAATATAACCTAGATCCGTCCCTATATATATATATATATATATATATATATATATATATATATATATATATATATATATATATATATATATATATATATATATATATATATATATATATATATATATATATATATATATATATATATATATATATATATATATATATATATATATATATATATATATATATATATATATATATATAAAAGTAGGATGCACTATTTGAAATGACGCATGCACTCCATAGCAATATGTAGCCGCCGTCATTTTATTTGATTACTCATACATGTATGCTCCAAATTAAATGACGCATGAGTAATAATTCAGAAAGACATTTCAAATCAAATGACGTATCTTCTTTATCCATATCTGAAACTATGTTATTTTGATAAATAAGTTGAATAAATAGGTTATTTAAAAAAAATTAAAAATTGTTTTTATTTTTTCATGAATTAAATTGAATTTTGAAGTTTTTTCAAAGTTTATTTTTTACTTATGTGACTTGGCAGTTAGCCAATGAACTAGTGTGAACGAGGAAGAAGATTTTCCTTTTTAGAATAATATTAAAGTATAAGTTTATTTCAAACTAATAGGCAAAGAGAATGCTTCATTAGTTAATGAGGGTAAGGTTTGGTAGTGGTAGATAGGGCTCCTCATTGTTATAAAAGCCAAAACCAGGACCACTCTAGATTTAATCTCAAAATTCAGTACTATAACTTATAAAAGCCAAAGTAAAAATTTTCTCCATTTATTTGGCATAAGACAAAGTTATACATTCCAATTATGTCAATCATATATGCATTATTTGCCTATACATGGAAATATCATTTAATAAGAGTATAAGAAACAAAATGTACCTCTTTAAATTGATCTTCCCAAACCAAAATAAAATGAATTGCATGCCACCAAAGCAAAGTGAATACCATAATTGAGCTGGATATGAGAAAGCACTTGATTGCTTGCAAGTATATTTATTGAACATGTTTGTTTCCACACCAAAAACAACCTTGTTTGAAATGGACCACAACACTTGTCCCAACTCCATTTCACTATCATCACTCTTGCTTTGGATTTGAACAATGATCTTCAGTACATGATGTGAATGCACCACTATTTATTGATAGATAGTGTATCATAAACTCATTTAATATATACAGCTCATACTATTGTATATCCTTCATTACTTGTCAATTTGTTCCACACAGAAAAAGAATCATATTTAACCCTATTCACACCCACCTTGTTTTATAAAAGGGTTCAATTAAGTGCTTATATAGAAACTATCTTTAAATTAAGTCAATCTGCTTTTATATACATTATAAGTTGTTTCCGTGAGCTACCTTGTAGAGCTTATAAAAATAAGCCGAAAATATAGACAAATAATAAATTGTTTTCATAAACTGTCTCGAACAGTATCACAAATGCATATGCCCGTAAATAAATTCAGATAAGTCGTCAGTCCAAAGATGCTATTAGCCTATTACAGATATATGTATAGTTAAAATTTCATAGAAGATGCAATTTGCATTGCTTACTTTATTCAGTGTAGCTATGAAGGAACCTGAAGAAAACTACACAATGGGATAAAAGAACAGATGATCCATTTACATTATTTTTTATATGAATGATTTACACCTGTATACAAAATTGCATCCCCAACACCAATAAACAATATACAAAAAAACTAGAGCAAAATTATGTGCAAAGCAAGTACCTAAAGCTGAACTCATAAGGCATGATTTGTACAAATTGTGAGAGGGGTTCAGTTTTTCTTTTCTCAAGCAATTTAATGGCTTCTTTTCCAAGTTCACTTGGTAGCTGAAGGCAGATCCAATCCATCAAAGATTCTAAGTCTTTTGCGAAATTCTGTAAATACCAATCCAAAAGCTTTGGAATAGCAAACTTGGTTGTTGAAATTCCAACTGTTGCTTGTAAATACTCTCTTTTGGCTACTTCCAGTTCATTCTCCACTTGGGATGCTGTGTAAACTCTCACCTGCATTTGGCATCATAGATCATGACAAAGCTTTACCGATGCAATGGACAAATTGAAATGGATTTGTAGAATAAAAAAAGTTTCCCTGTGAATTACTCAACAACTTACAGCAGGAGAAGACCAAGTTCCACTAGAGAGAGCAAATGTCACTAGAGGTTCTGACAGTTCAAGTCCATATATGCTTCTTGCTATCATTTCATGATTTTTCGCTCCCTTCGAAAACGTCTGTTTTAGAATTCAATTGTTAACTATTTATTCTCATCCTTTGAAATGCAGGAGTTGAAATGGACAAGACTTACGAATTTGTAGTGATAAGGAAGTCTTAAAATGAAATGCTCTATGGTTGTTGCACGTAGTATGTGTCCGCCAACATCTATTTTTGCCTACATACCAAGAAAACTACATAAATCATTGAGCATATTTGATCTGCATTGTTTTATATACTAAATCAGAAGAACAAGCACAAAGCTAAACCATCCTATTCCTAGCCAGATGAAACAAATTAGCCTTATAGTACGTACCTTCCGCATCATTGCAACAGCCATTTCAGGACTCTCCGGTATACCATTCTCTATGAATGCCTGAATAAAAGAGAAAAACATCAATAAATGTTGTGCTAAAAAATCAGCAAAATTGAGATACAAGTTATACTGTACTATGTTATTTTAGTAAACATAAACACACATACATTCATCATACACGAGTTATAGGTGTTGATCCAAAACGCTAGCTTCTCCTGATGGTTGAGGTTCTCCATGTGGACAGAGGCTAGCTTCCTAAAAAGAAGTCTGCAAGATTCCCGGAATCAAACTATTGTAGTTGATAAATTTCTTATTTTCAGAGTAAAAGTAACTAATTTAAAATCAAGTATTCGCACAAAATATAGAATATGACATACTTTAACCGGTGCAGTAAAAACAAAGTATTTGCAGTTCGTTTTGCATTGAAAGATTTAGCATCAATTGCACATAAATGCTTGTAGGGACCAATATCCCTCTTTCCATATTCTAGACAGATTCCATACGGATCCCAAAACTCTGTTCCTTCCATATAATTTCGAGGTTTTCGAGTCCATAAGGGTGATGATATGTCGCCTGCAAAACCTAAATTCTTCACAGAACTCATCCTCAAGAGAATGCTTGATAAGCACTTTAGAATATTTTCAGAAATCACATTTGGACTGTCAGCTTCTGTTGGCATTTGGTGTGGATTAGGATGTCTTAGTTCTGCCACTTGCCGGTCTTTTACCTTTGGTTCTTGCTGCACAGTGGGAAGCATCACAATTGACAATCATTAATGATTTCAAGGAATTACTTTCTTTTCACCTACTTACACCAAAACACAGATGAAAGTTACCTTCCTTTTCGGAGAATGCGCTTTTTTATGCAATGACTTATTGTCAACATGAAGATTTTTAATTGGAGATATACTCATTTGTTTGGAGGGTTGAAGCCTTCTCTTAAAAGAATCATTGCAGGATTTATTCTCTTTTCCTTGTATATTCTCTGGAAAACAAAACAACAAGCAAAATCCATGAGGGATGTAACCAAACCAATTGCTATTTAATTTACAACTATTCCACAACAATTTGAACTCGACATTACAGAGTCAAACTCTTAGCACTGAACTAAAAACCAATACTTAATTAAGATAAACATGTGAAAACATACTGATGAGTTGATCTTGCTCACCTATGATAGGCCTAGTTGTAAACGTTTCTTCTGGATCATCAACTGTTTGTGAAAGGGACTTCAATTCATCTAATTCAGCACTGTCCATTGTTGTTTTTGTGCTTGAATTGTTTGGAAGAGGCAACGAATTCTCCACTTTGGTCTTACAAGATGACATGTAAACAGCTTCTTGATACAAATCTTGCCTGAAATTCACAACTTTCTCTTCAAGCCTAACAATTTCCTCTTCCAAAACTGCCACTTCAGCCAGAAGTGCTAGTATCTACATATAAATTTCTTCAACATTAGTAACTCCTAACACTGAAAATTTCTTTTACACAATCCCTTTCTTTCTAACTTAGCAATAGACAAAAGCACTTATTAAAAAAAATCACTTAAAAATAAAAGAAAAAACAGTGACAAAGAGACTCATTTACTAACATAGGGAGGAAGATAAGGAGGAAGACGAGGTAAAACTCCTAAAGGTCTATTGAAAGCTCTCTCCAATGCCATGTGAATGTTCTTCTCATGCTTAAGCTTCTTCTTCAAACTATCCACCTGAAATTCAAAGAATCAACTCAGCTTCCAATTAGGGACAAGAAAATTGTGAATTACAGTATAAACATACATCTTGTTGCAATGCCAACTTTCTTTGAATGGTTGAAGATTTTCCACCATTACTAGAAACTCTCAAGCTTCTTTGCATCATCTATCTACCTTTTCATTAAATACAAAAAACAAATAATGAAGTTGGATTTTTGTTGAAACAATTTTTCAAACACATAAAAGACATGAATGAATGCACAAATTTTCAAATCAGAGAATGAAGTATGAAGAAATAAAAAGATTTAATGAAACGTGGTGGTATAAGAGAATTAAAGATTGAACCTTTTATATATATATATATATATATATGTATAAACATTAATTAAAAGAATGAAGTAATGATCCAAGAAAGAGTGAAGTTGATAATAAATGAAGCAGCATAAGAAAATTGGAAAAATGGGTGGAAAAAGAGGAAGAATAAGAAAAATAGAATAAATAAGAAAAATATGGGTAGTGATGGGAGTGAGATACAGTTGTTGCCACTTCCACCGCTGCAGAAATTAAAAATAATAATAATATATATATTTTGAAATATAAAAATACAGTTAAATGAGATTGAATTGGTGACTTCACTCCAAAGTTAATTTATGTCATTATATATATAAACCGACATGCATCTTTCTGTTTTCTGATTTTTTTCTGCTTCCAAGTTTTTAAAGACTTTCTTTCACACACACAAAAGTGTTTATGTTTTAATTAACTATTAGGTTTGAGTTATGCTAAGTATAGTGTTTAGGTCTGATTTTAATGATATTATGTAAGCATATTTCAATAATATTATATAAGTTATAAGATTGATTAAAATTTAAATTTAAGATATTAATTATTTATAAATTGAATTGATTAATATTAGAGAATGTGATTTTTGAATATATCTTATGGTTACTACCTAGAGCTTTTTTTTGTTTTTTTATTGTCGTAAATCCATATTGCATTATGTCAATAACTTTCACATATCAATATGCTGTACTTTATATTTTATATACATGTTAATTTGTTTATTTAACTGTAGCACTAACATATAATTGTAGTCCTAATTCTGTTAGACAGTATTCACCTGTATTCATGTAATATTAGTGTTAATTATACATAAATGGAAAGTAAGTAAGAAACAAACTACGCCGTCATTATTCCTTTTATTCTTTTATAAGGTGAAATCAATCTTATAAAAAAAATATATATATATATATATATTATTATGCAATGAGTCTTAAATTTTTTTGAAAAATATGTATGGCTTTTAGTGTTAGGAAGCTAAAAAAATCAAATATAAATGATATAAAAATATGTTTATGGTCTCGAACACGTTTTTTTATGTTTGACAATTTTATTTGATGCGCGTTTGAGGTTTTTTTTCTTCAAAAGTAAAATCTCATATCATTAGTCTCACAAGTAGGAAAACTCCAATCAAGTACATGCATATATGTTTCGCTCATAGCCTATGATACTCTAGAATATCAGCAGGTCATAGTGTCACCTTCTGCCCAGTGGATCGGTCAAAAAATTCACAAGCGTTTTTTTCTTCATAAATACTCTTATTCACCGAAATATTTCAAACAAGACATCCCTAAGTCATGTTGATACAATACTAGAAGGTCCATACAATGAAATGTGTGTTCACTAAAAGTATCAAAGCAAGTCTTACGACAAACAGGGAAAACCTCATCAACAAGAAATAAGATAATCATAAGAAGATATCTAAGGATAGTACGATACTATACCGATGACATATGTTGACCTAACCCATCAAAAGAAATGGCTATGAGAAAATCATGAGTATGTGATTCTTGGAACCAACTAAAAATTTATTTCTATCGTGTGGTCATATCAAACTTTACTTCCATGTCCTGAACACTTTTACTAAAAGGAACAGTTGCCAAAACATGTTTTGTTTTGGGGGGAGATTTCTTTGCAAGCAAAACTACTAAGGTCCAAAGCTTTCTTAAAGTCAGAGTTCATACCGTATATCACATTGTCTCTCAATATATAATCTTGCAACACTCAAAATTGGATCATAGAACCCACAAAAGCGTACAAGGCAACCTTTAATTTTGAGTACAAACTCCATTCCCCAATTCTTACAAGTAAGTAAGTCAGCCTCCATTGAAAGTCCCTGGAAAAAAAGGACCTTCATCAACCAAGATGTCCTCAACCACCCTTCATAACTCTTTATCAAACCAAATAGATGCTTATTCCATGTGAATCGGCTAACACGTTCTATGCCATTTTATTTAAAATGCTCATGTATGATCGAAGTACAAGAAGATCACATTGTGGATCCCTTAGCTGTGAGAGAAGATGCAATAACTCAACAGCCCTCACAACTCTCTTCATGGACAACCCCTTGATAAAACCTACATCTCCAAACTAGAAGTCATTGAGGTATTGTGCCACATCTTTACCGACCTCTTTCATTAAATCCTGGATAATAAATGCCTCCAAATATAACCTACAATAATTGGGTATCTCCCACCATTAGGCTTGAATAATGACGTTAAAGGTGCATAAGCTACAAACTCTGTCAAACTCATTAAGCATCTTTCTCCTAGCCATAAGTTAACAAATAGAGTTATTGCACCTAAAAGATTTCTTGTTACAACCGACCTTTCTCCACACATAGCGTCTAATAAGTGGTTGGGGAACGATTTAAAGAATCTGAGAATACTCCTAACTTCATCCACCAGGGGAGCTTTAGAGAATAAGGTGGTCGGCATGAGGTGAAATTCATTATATATTCACTATAAAAGCCACTTCAAATGATCCAAACACTTTCAACCGTTGTGAAACAACCATCTTCACCCATACAAAGACATTGTCTGATGTTAACGCCCATATTTTTATCATCTTCCTCAATATGAACTCTCGTATAACCCAAATTATCTTGCTCAGAGTTACCCAATACACTATCAACTAACTTGTCAATACCATATCTCTCTCTCCAAATCGCTAAACAACTCAAAATGTGATGTTGTTGTAAAAAATGTTCGATTTGCATACCTCCAATATTGCCTATTATGAGATTTAACCACCTGTAAAAACCAAACCAAGCACATAAACATCTTGATTCAACAATCTATAAGAGATATACTATTCACTACAAAGATAGGTGTTGTGAGATCTCAAATTTTGTTTTAGATGGTTCTAAAATACCTACAATGTGACTCTTGACCTCCTATGAACTATAAGAAACACGAACTAAACCATCAAGATGATGACATGTGCGACTCATTGCATAAATATTCATACACCTTCCACACATCCGTTGCTCAACCAACCTTAAAAATTTCTCCAAAACCATAAACAAACTCTGTTCACTATCAATGACTTTATGTATATTGCATTTTTTTTTTATCATTACTTAAATTTAGCATTTTAAAATGAGATACCATTAAAAAAAAACTTCTTTGAAGTCACTTTTTTCATCAAAGCAACAATAAAACTCTCAAAATAGATAGTACAAATCTTCAAACTTAATAGAAACTATTAAACAATACAAAAGAAATATAGTTGAGAAACTTTATAAAATAGGTTGATGTCAACATAGCATTTCACCATGGTGTCTCATGTTTTCAATATCTTAATAAAATTTTTGGTAAAAATACGGGTTTTTTCTCTCTAGATTCTTCTAATAGAATGTGCGTGATATTTGTCTATTAGTGACCAATCCTTGACCGTATGTATCAAAGGGAAAGCCTATTCCATGTGGACTTGATCTATTGTTTGTTGGATCTATGTGTAGGTCTTGATCTCCATGGCATACTGTATTTTTCCTAAATAACAACATCTCAACTTTTAACTCATCGACTTTCTAAGAAAAGGATACTTTAACCCATAGAAATCAAATCACTTTTTGTTTTTTTGGATGCATGTGCAAAGAATGAAAAGGAGATGCAGTAAAAGACACATAAAAAGATAAAAAGACAAGTAAAAGAAAAAGGGAAACGAAAAAGGATATGATTAAAGAAAAGGTAAACATGATATTAGTAATAATTATGAAGTTGATTAATGTAATATCTGTAATAATAATTATATAAAAATAATATCCACATGTTTAATACATTAGTTATATTATAGGGTAAAGTTTCTACTAATCAATAAATGATTTGTGCCCTACTTAACAGATCTAACTGTACGTTAATTAGAATGCGTTTGACTTTTATAAAAGTGTGATGTTTTTCAAGAGAAAAAATGTCTTATTTTATAGTTTTAACCTTGTTATCATTTATTCAATATTTTCAAAGATTAATTATAAGTAAGGTTGAACATAATTTTGTATTTTGTTTATGGTATAATTTCAGATTTAACTCGTTTAGCATTGCTTGTGTTTTTGGTAATAACGTTTATAGTGCTTTGGTTAAATGGTAATTGAATTAATTTGCTCTTGAAAAAAATTATAATTTTGATACTTGTTTATCATGTTTTATTTATAGTTTAAATGATTTTTTAATTTAAAAAAATTCATATTCATATCTTAACTCTTTAAAACGTATTAGGTTAGTTATTTTTTTTTAATTAGTGACGAATTTAACGATGAATTTCTGAGTTTTTCGCCGCTAACTAAATGAAAAGGACTAAGATACTATATTTTGAAGAGTTAAAAGATCAATATGAATATTTTTTAACTTAAAAGACCAAAATAACTCTGGATGTAGTGGACAACAAGAAATGGGAAGACAAGACATGAAGGTTGGAAGGAAGGGACCAACAATATCTCATATGATGTTCGCAGATGACCTATTGTTGTTTGGTCAAGCAACTGAAGGCCAAACCGAGAGTATCATGGCAGTTTTGAACAAGTTTTGTACTTCTTCTGGTCAACAAATCAATGTAGAAAACTCAAGAATTATGTTCTCCAAGAACACTCCTCAGCAAACAAGATGGAACATCATCAAAAATGCAGGGGTTCAAAGAAACTGATGAGATGTGTATGTACCTTGATATCCCATTGACAGATGAAATCCATAGGAGAGGAAACTACCAGTACCTAGTGGAAAAAGTGTGCGCCAAATTGTAAAACTGGAAGTGGAAAAAATTATTCTTTACTGGTCGAGCTACTCTAACCAAATCTATTATGGAGGCTCTCCCAACCTATACCATGATGAC